AGTCATTCCACATTTAGTCCTTGTTTATGTCAAATTTGAGCATAACTCAGAAGTACACCTTCTGTGGTACTTTGATTCTTTTTGCATGTCAAGAACTCTTGCTCTGTTCCTCATTCTGCTGGGAGTAGGACTGCATGTATCTACAGCATGATATATCAAATAAACATGCATTCAGGACCACTGCCCCTCTGGCTATTTTGGAAATATGGTCTCACTTTTTGCCCAGGCTAGCCTGGACCACAATCCTCCACTCAGCTATGCCTCCAGCATTATGCTGATACTTTTATACTCCTTCTCCAAGGTAACACTGGAAAGGATCATATTGAAAAAAGTGATTTAAAAAACTTGCCAGACTTGGAGGCACATGCCTGTGTAATTGCAGTTACTTAGGAGGCAGAGGCAGGAGGATTGTGAGTTCCAGACCAGCCTCAGCAAAGACCAGGCAGTGAGACCCTGTCTCAAAAAAAAAAAAAAAAAAACTGGGAGTATAGCTCAACCATTAGAGCACTTGCTTAGTGTTCTCAGGGCCCTGGGTTCAATCCCAGTCCCAGAAAAACAAAAAACAACCCCTCACAAAACAAACAAAGACAAATCTTTCAGGGGCCCACTTAAGGCAAGAGTGTAGAAGCAGAGAGCTCTGTATACTAATTCACTCATAACAAAGGGTGGAAGAATGCCCCTTATAGCAATATCCGCACTGGTTTGGATGGGCTTTGGCTATTTCTAGTGCGTTTACCTGCCTGCCTTTAATTTGATAGAGCCCTGCTTATTGACTGGACAAGGTACAACATGGCTCAGCCTCGTGGGGTAATAGCATGAATCATACCAGACATCCTAGTTTGTTGTTACTTTATCCTTGGAATGTTGTAAAGACTTGCTTATACTTTCACCCCTTTTTTTCTAATAATCTTTAAAGTTTCATACCTTTGAAGTGTAAATTAAACTTGAAATTTGAGTACGGATCTATTTGGACACTACAGTCATGATACTTTCAGTTGTGAAGATCCATTATTCTGTCTCTCTCTCTCACACACACACATGCATATACATACACATACACATATGTATATGTATATTCAGTGGCTAGAATGAATTGGTTTACTTTTGATTTGGGTACTTACTCCTATGTCCAGTGTGAATTGTTCTTTGCTTTTCTGTGATTGTCTAGCTTTCAACCATTAGCTGAAATAAGGCCCATTAGCACCCTCATCAGAGCTTAAACAAGAAAAAAAGAAGAAACAAATTGGACCACACTTTGTGTTTTTTAGAAGCTCTGGTATTAGATTCAATAGTGATCACTGTGAAAATTACTTTTGTATCGTGATCTCTCTGTGGATTAAAAATTACATAAGTCTGATCAATGTGTATTTTGTAACTGTGAGTGATTTGTGACCTGTAGTCTGCTTCCATGACGATGTGTAGTCCTGCCAGATTAATTAGTACAGAAACTAGATTTTAGTTTAGAAAAATATCTTGTTAAAGCTTTACCAAGTTCTGAATCTAAATTACAGTGGAGACTAAATGTAAGTACACTCTATTGCTGTTCGCAAAATTACATACATTTATGTGTAATAATAGAGAGGAAACTGAAATGAAACGTTTACGTTTATTTTTTTCTAATTGGTAACATTTCCATCAGTTTATTTCTCTTAAAAGTAATCAACAGGGTTAAGAGAAAAATTTCACTGCACGAGTCACATTTTGTGTTTTGGAATGAATACTGGATTCACCCAAGCAAACAGGTCTTACTGAATCTTTTAACATAGGGCTCACCATAAGTCTGGTGGTTGGAATAAGGAATTCTTTATTTATATTCAGATTATCTGCATGGTGGCCAAATTTTAATCTAAGCCTGTTTCTTCCTGCCAAGTAGCATAGAGCATGTCCTTCTGCTGCCCAGCCAATATGTGCTTTAGGAAAGTAAAGTCATTTTAATATTAGTCTAGGCAAAAGCTACAGGAGGAAAAATCACATATGTTCCAAAGGCAAATAGAAAGGTCTTTTGATTTTCCATTGTCTTGGATTATCTGTGCAACTTTCTTTCAGTAGTTTGAATAATTCATATTTTAGACCCATTTGCCATTTCGCTTAACAAATATCAGAGTCAGCTAAATTTTCCAAACTTCTTACTTAAAAGTGGTATTATTAATGATGCATTTGACAGCAGTGAGCATAGCGTAGGAGTAGTGTGGAGTATACTGTTTCTGTTTTTATTTTTACTTTTCCAAAGTCTATTTGTAGTCTGTCTCCACCTAAAAACAATGTACAGGCAATAGAAAGAAATGACATTTGGGGGCTGGGCGTGTAACTCAGTGGTAGCATGTTTACCTAGCATTGTGAGGCCCCAAGTTCCATCCCCAGAAATGCAGGAAAAAAAGGAAAGAAATGATATTTTAAAGAAAAATAAAAGAGAAGCAGAAAGGGGAGTATTGAATTACATTAGTATAAGTATTAGAAGCCCAGAGACTTCCAAATGTACTATAGGTTATTTAACATTGCAGATACAGTAGCTTAGATATTTATAAAAATAATTTTAAAGACTCCTAACATTTAGAGCATATTAGATCAGCATGGACTTTTGCAAAGAAGCCAGTGACCAAACTTAAATTAGAACCTGTATTTCCAGACTCATAATTCCTTCTCCGATTCTATGCTTTTTTCTATTTCAAGAAGTGAAAAATGTACCTGCATAAGTTCTTAAACTGACTAGTCTAGCTTTGTCTCTCACTGTTTTCACTTTACTTCCTGTACTACAGCCACACTAGCCTGCTTTTGATTCCTAGAACTACCCTTGCTTCCTCACAAACCTTGTCCAGTTAATGCCTACTCGTCTTTCCAATCACAGCACAAATCTCATCTTTCTCTGTTCCTCCAGGTTAGATCAGGTTACCCGTGTGTTAGGCTCTTGTAGCCCCTTGTAGCTTACCTTTATTACTTGTATCACAAATTGTAATTATGTGTTTGTTAGTATGATTATTTCATTGTTTGTCTCCTCCACTGTCCTATAAATTCAGTGAGGACAGGGACCATGTCTGTCCTTTACACCATTGTCGTTCTGGTATCTAGCATACTTCCTATACTTTTGGGCATTCAGTAAATATTAGAATAAATGAAATTCAGGGCAAATATAGAGCATACATCTTATATATTGAATTGCTGAGAATGAAAGACAGCTTGATGCCAAATTGTGAAGGCCCAATTCCAGGTTTAGGGGAGGCCAGCTTAGTTGTTGAGAGCACTGAGCACCAGGGCTGGATGGGGAAGGTATTCCTGGGCTCGGTTATAGAGCCACTGATGTCCAGATCAGTTTTAATGGAAAGAAACAGAGGCCAGTTGTTAGGATTAGAGGCAGTTGACATGGGGGTATTGGGACCATGGGTAGAGAACATTCATTTTAGAGGCTTAACTGGAGAATAACTAAGAGGTCCAAGAAAAGGAGTCTTAGAGATGATAGGGAGACTTTTAAGATTTGTAAGCAATAGAAAAGGAAATAGTATAAGGAATTCATAAATTGAAAAGAATATTAGAGGCATATAATTATGGAAATCAGAAAATGTTTTTGAATTGAAAGCCTCTTGGGAGTTGGCAAGTAGTCAACTGTAGGGCAGTTGAAAGACTTTGTTTTACAGTACAGAAACTATGAAGCAATATGCTTCATGGCACACTTCAGCTAGTCTGAGAATGGTACCTCAATAAGCAACCATTCTTCTTACTCCAAGCCTGATTGGATGGTAAGAAGATAAATAGGATAGAACTCTCTTGAGCAAGTCAGGAACCCTCCTCACAAAAACCATGGCACGTCAAGAGTGCCATGCTTATTGTATATGGGAAAGTACAATGTCTCCAGGAAGGCACTCAAGTGACATGGGACCTTGAATCTTTGGGTTTCTGAGACTTTATAATTTCATAGTGATCTCCATCTATTGTATTATGTAGTTCATTGCTGTTGCTTTTGTGCTTTTTATTATTTACAAATGCTCTACCAATGTGTAAGTCCTTGAAACCATGTCATTGCATGTTTTGTTTACCCTAATAGGTGCATTTGCTTATAATTCTTTTTGCTTTGTCCTCAGTTCAAATATTTTGGATGGCAGTAGTGGCAGCAATCGCTTATCCTCAGACTCACTGGCTGCAGTCAGCGCTCCCGCAGAGTCTTCAGTAGCATGCACCAATTCATGCTCTCCGTTCATCTTGATGGATGATCTGTCACCCAAGTGACCTAACCATTTCTGATTCAATGTTTTTACTGCCGTTTCCCACAGAAAGCATTCAGTGAGGAACGCAGAAAACTTTGATCCATAGTGAGGATTAAAGTTTGACAGATTTCAACTGTTCTAATGCTCTTAGTTTTGGGCATCTCTCTCCTCTAAAGTTCAATTTTGCAAGCATAGTGACCTTACTAATGGCTGTTTTTGCTGATCTCATTTTACATTTGGTGACTAAATCTCAAATATTCATTTTTTTATTGCTTAGAGAACATTTTTCTTCGTGCCTCAAAGAGCACCTATTTTTGAATCTGTGTTTTTAAGGGAGGCACTGATGGATATTTTCTATAATGGTTCTTTTCCCCAGCAGTGATATGACAGAGTTGATCAGAAAGTCTCTTGCTTGAGAGATTTTTTTGTTCTCTGTTGACTACATACTTTTCCAGTCTCTTTATTTCACAATAACATACAAACTGCTTTTGATTATATCAAAGTTTCATTTTTCTATATCAGCTTAAATTACATTATTTTGTTTCCCCTTCCTGTTTGAGTTGCTTACTTGCCATTTCTCACAGAGGGAAAGAAACGCGTAGTTGCTTCCATCACTGCTACCCTTATTGCTTCTTTGCTTTTGGATTGTATAAAATGACAGTTTGATTTTAGTGTTGAGAATGTAAATGCACTTACAGGAATACCTCTGTCAATCCCAGGTTCTTAGCACTTTGCTACCACAGTTGATATTTCTCTCCCCAAACGTGTCCTAAGGAATATATAAAATATTATTGATATTTCTAGGTGGTGTTATCAAGGAGAAGAAATTCCTGCCTTGACCAGATGTGTGGAGCATCTACAAATGAACGAATAATGTTATTGACACACACACCACTGTGTACAAAAGTGAGCATCCATGAAGCTGTCAGTGTCTCGGATGGTATTATGGGGGCTTATGTGCTTTGGGGTACATTGTTGTGCCATAAGGGATGTCTATCATAAGGTAGCGTGGAAAAGGAGGCTTTGTATGTGTGATTGCCACAATACTATTTGGTTGCTGCCTTTTTTCTGGTTACTTTTTGTCATTGGGTTTGCTTGTTTTGTTGTGTGGTGATTGGTGTTTTTGTTTATTGTGCTGCTGCCATAGTCAGAATCCAGTTCTTGTTCTTGCTGCTTGTAGAGGGCAGTTTAATATCTACAAGAACCTTTTAGGAGCTGAAAAAGTTAATGTTATTGCACATTCTACTTTTAAAAACTTTGAGTTATAGTGTACATGCTAGCAAGTGTGTGATACCATATGTTCTTTCATTTTCACAAGAGGAAACTCCTGACTGAGCTATTTAAGTCATCTGAGTATAATCTATTGTTACGTTATTTATTATTTATTATGCTGTATAAAGTGTCTGTTGTGATAGATTTCTTTTATTGTTCAGACATCATGGATGGATTGTCTGTTTAATATGCACATATGCTCACTAGGATCATAATATTCCATTTTTAAATGAATGTAAGAAATAGAAAACTACTGCACTTGGGTCTTTTGAAGGCAAAGATCTTTGAATTTTAAAGGAAGATGATGTGCTTTGAAGGCATTCACGGACTAGTAATTATGTACAGCTTGAAGGGAAACCTCTCTTCCAGTTTTAGAGAACATCACTTAGCTTGCAGTAGTTCTGTTACAGAGTCAGGATGTTCTTTTCTTTAAATTGTAATCACCACCATAATAGCCATGAGTGGCTTTAGTTCTCATGTTGCTTTCACCTGTGTAAAGCCCATAATCCTTCAGACCTAACTCAAAAGTATGTTATGAAGCTTTTCCCTCATGTGCCATTTTAAAGAATTTCTTTGATGCTATTCCGTGCGTCTATTTGTAAAAGAATCATGTTCAGATGGTTTTGCCCTGTAATGATGACAGATGGTTTACTCTTTCATGACATTGGTCAACCTTTACTATATTCTTTGCCTTGAAGGGACACTTTTGAGTTCTAATTTAGGACTGTTAAGAAATAACCTCTGAAACGTGATGATATTTAAATTTGTTTTTGAAATTTGGTGATGTGGTAGAACTGGGACAGGAAACTGAAATAGTTCCAATGGCATGAGTTCTGAGAGGCAAGGTGATTAACTGTATTGTCTAAACTATGGTTTTCTTTCATTTAAATGGACTAGCCAGTTAAGTTCGTGCAGGGATTGTTTTGAAATAAATAAAAATAGAGATATACTAACCCACAGATGAACCTTGTTGACATTATTCCTTTATTTTTATATAAATCTAATATTTGAGAAGCATGTATTGTTATAAAATAAAATTTTCTCTTATTCTAATATATCATATTTCACTCTTGTATTTGAAAATAAGTATAAGAAATGATACAAGAAAATTCTATAGATACTGTTTTTTCTTTGATTTATATAATCACTGTTTTTTGGTAACTGCTTTTGGAATAATAGAAAGTTCTGTGTAATATTGGCCACATGTGTATCTTAGAATGAAAATTTAATAAAGTATATGTACATGCATAAAATAATAGTATTTTAAAAGTCTATTCTTATTGGTAATTATTTTCTGCCTCCATATCCCAAGAGTTCATTCTCTATGTCTGATGGCAGGTCAAGTTTTGAAACAAAAGGATATGAGGAACCAAACAAAGAAGAGCCTCTCCACAAACTCTGTCAAATTTTCAAGAGTATTTTGTACAGTTTGGCAATCTTTCCCGTCTCTGACTGCATCTGTCCCCTGATCAGCTTTTCCTTGGCTTTCCTGTGCTAGCCATTGCAGTTATCTTCTTCCTGGGCTTTTCTTCCTTTGGATTTTTGGGTTGTTTGTTTGTTTGTTTGTTTAAATAAACCAGTTTCCCATATCCTTTTGAAGTAGTGCCATACTATTTCCTATTTTTCTAAGACAAAAACTTATTAAATATATTAAACACTTGTGCTTGAATGAGAATATTGGCGGAATCACATATATTTCTTATGTGCTTTCAATTTATTTGTTTATTTTTGTGGTATTAGGGATTGAGCCCAGGGCCTCACACATGCTAAACACTCTACCACTTGAGTCATGCCCCCAACCCTCAGTTTATATTTTGTTGTATTTTTTACACATTTATAAGCCTCTATAAATTTTTAGAACAAGATGGGAGTGTCTAAATAGGAAGAAATAAAGGTTTTTGTGCATGACTCATGTTATAAACACTTAATTTTATTTTCCATTAAAAAATAGACTACTAAAAGACACTACCTTTTGAAATAACTTCTTATTTATAAGAAAGTTACACGAATAGCCCAAAGAACTCCCATGTACTCTTCACTCTTCTTCCCCAATTGTTAACATTTGACCATACTTGTTTTTATCATTCTCTCTATATGTGTCTGTTTGTGTGTGCAAGTGTGTGTATCATCTGAGAATAAATTGCAGACAGGATGCTCCATTACCTATCAAAATCAGGAAATTAACATTGACACGAAACTATCATTAAATCTACAGACTCATTCCAATGTCCCTATGGCCCCTATAATACTTTCTTTAGCAAAAGAAAGTCGTTTTTTCCCTTGCCTAGGATTTAATTCAGACTTCCATATTACACTTAGTCATCATGTGTCTTTCATCTCCTTCAATTTGGAAGTCTCTCACTGTTCTTCTTGCATTTTGAAAAGTATTGAGCAGTTATTTTCTAATTTTTAAAATTTTAATTAATTTGAGGGTCGGGAATTGAGCTCAGGACCTCACGCTTGCTAGGCAAGTACTCTACCACTTGAGCCATATCTCCAGTCCCAGTAACTTTGTAAAATCTCCCTCAGTTCAGCTTTGTCTGTTGTTTCCTCCTGATTAAATTCAGGTTATGCATTTGAGGCACAAATACCCACAAAAGTGGTACTGTGTTCTGAGTAACATTCCAGGAGTCTCATGGTATCACTTTATCCTGCTATTAGAGATGGTAACCTCAATCCCATGTTCAATGTATTGTGTGTCATGTTTTTCCACGGTATAGTTAGTCTTTCTCCCATAGAAATTAATAGAATATTTTGTGTAGATACTTTAAGACTATACAATATAAATATCCTGTTTCCTCATCTTTCACAAGTGTTAGTATCCATTGATCTTGCCTGATATACCTATGATGACTACCTAATGGTGACTAATGCCATTATTCAGTCTACGTTTATTAGTTTGTATACTGTATCTTTACAATATAATACAGAATTTATCCACCATTTATTTGCATCTGCATGGACTCATTGACTTCTGTTTTAGTTAGTGGGTTTTAATCCATTACCATGGTTATTTCAATACTTGATTTGGATAGTAAGAGCTCCTTTAAGCTTGCTCCTGTGTCTTTTTTTTTAATTTCTTTCTTTCTTTTTAAACTTTTTGGTGCAAGGTATCCCAGATTCATACTTTGTTTGCCAGCCCCTAGGATCAGCCATTTCTCTAAGGAGAATTCTTGAATAGAGAATGGTATTTGAAAAAAAAAGTATGGGGCTGAGGGCATGGCTCATGGTAGAGTGCTTGCCTAGAGAGAGTGAGATCCTAAGTTCAAAACTGTGAGTTTACCTGGCCTGGTGGCACACGCCCATAATCCCACACTTGAGAGACTGAGGCAAGAGGATTGGAAGTTCAAGATCAGCCTGAACATAGCAAGATCTTGTCTCAAAAAGAAACTGATTAAGGGAAAACCAGGACTATGGATTATGGTTCTGGAATGCTCCCCAGGAAAGAAAACACTGAAGCTGAATCTTGAAGAACAAACTTGGAGTGGATGTAGGAATTGCATAGAGGGAACTAGGACACAGCCAAGAGACCAAAGCACTGTTGCAGAAATCCAAGTAATTCAGAAATACAGAAAATGAGGCTGGAGAGGGAAACGGAGGTCCCATGTGATCTTTTAGGATCTGGGAGTCCAGTTTATGTAAGTGGAAGTTGTGCATGTAGATTAAAGCAGAGTTGTGAGGAGAGGATGAGGAAAAAAATCCTGACAACATCAACATTCAGAAGTGAGGAAGAAGAGTTGGGGTGGTGAGGGCGGTAGGAGAAAAACCTGGAGACAGTAGCCAGCCATATCAGTGAAACTAAGGAGGGAGTAATCTACAGTCGGGATGGACTGAAAATGTTCCATTAGATTGGATAGTTACGAGGTCCCTGAGACTTCCAGTGAGGTACAAAGGAAAATGTTGAAATGTAATGGCTTGAATAAATGAGAATTTAGGACATGGAGCTATTAGCTTATATAGTTACCCTTCTTTCCCAACCCTTGCCCAATTACCATACAAATTCTTTCCCCTTTTTTTTCTGTATCCTCTGAGGCTAGCGCTATATCTGAAATAGAAATAGTCGCTCAATAAATTTTGTTGAACGATAACTCCATACTGTAGCCTATAGAGGGAGCTGAAAGAATATCACTCTAACTAACCTATAGGAGGAGCTGAAATAAAATCACAGGGGAATCTTAACCTGTAGGGGAAGCTGAAAGAAAATCTGAGAAGTATTAACCACACACTCTAACCTCTAGGAGGAGCATCAAGCCTAGTCTTCCAGGCATTTTAAAGGAACACTTGCACAAGGAGTCTTCAATAGGTAATATTTATTATTATATACTTAACATTTACCTTCTATCTATGACATGTGATACTGCTTTTCCAATTATGCTACTGATAGGACATTTTCTATTAAGATAAATTCAGCAAATAATATTTTTAAATACACATATCTTTAAAATAGAGCAAAAAAAACGTTAATTTAAAGAAACGTGTTAGAGAAACAATAGTATGAGTGATACTTAGATATGGCCAAAATCTTAAAAGTAAATTGTATATAAGTGCGTAGATCCAGGAAAATGCTGGGGTCACTGGGTGTGTGGAACTGGGGTGAGGAAGTTAAAAGCTGTTGAATATGTGTGGAAAACTCTTTTGGAGTTTCTCTTTGGATTCTTCTTATTTTATCTCCTCTTTTTTCTGTGAAGTGTGATAAGGGAGGTCTGCTACCCTTCTTTTAGCTTCTGAGACGACATTGCCCCTTGTCTTCAAGGACAGAGGGGACTGGGGCCTAAGAAGCCTTTCAAGCCTTGTTTGCTTACTTATCTCTCCGATTAAAGGAGAGCTATGGTCAGAATGTACCCCTTCAGAGAAAGAAGATTCTAATCTGAGTCCCTGAGATCTGCTGCTTTGAGCAAAAGGAATTTTGAGTCTAATTCCTCTGGTGACACCACTGAAGTGTGAGTGATAGCCCTTGTTGGTGACGTGTCTGTTTATTTGAATCTGGCCTCTAGGCATTTATCTCCCTCCTGGATCTGTGCAGTGGGGAGAAAAGGAGGAAGATAAAGGGAGATAAAGGGTTAAGAACTCTCTAGGATTTGTGCTGGGCATTCTGGTACAGGCCTGTAACCCCAGTACTTAGGAGGCGGAGAAAGGAGGATCCTGAATTTGAGGCCAGCCTGGGCTACATAGCAAGAGCCTATCTCAAAATTTTTTTATTCTTAATTCATTTTTATACATTTTTAAACTATGAAGGGAAAAAAAGCTCATGATAAAAAGTTCAAACTTGGCAAATGGATTAAGAAAATGTGGTATTTATACACAATGGAATTTTACTCAGCCATGAAGAAGAATGATATCTTATCATTCGCAAGTAAATGGATGGAACTGGAGAACATCATCTTAAGTGAAGTTAGCCAGGCTCAGAAAGCCAAAATTCTTATGTTTTCCCTCATATGTGGACTATAGATCTAAAACAAATGCAGTAATATTATTGGACATGGGTCACACACTAAGGGGAGGACATATACAGGAGGAATAGGCAAAGGTAGGAAACACAAAACTTGAAAGTATTTGATGTACCCCCTGCAGAGGAGCTAATACAGTAACCTTAAAATGACAGAGGTCACTATGGGAAGGTGACCGGGAAGTAGTGAAGAGGTCAGGTAGAGATGAATCAATTCGGGTTGTAATACACTTGTGCATGGAAGCAATGCTAGGAATCTCTCTGTATAGCTATCCTTATCTCAACCAGCAAAAATGCTTTGTCTCTCTTATTATTGCTTATGTCTGTTCTTCAACAAAATTGGAGAAAAGGGCAGAACAGGTTCTGCCTGGGAGTGAGGCGGATTGGGGGAGAGGGAAGGGGGCAGGGGGCAGGGGGGAGAAAGGGCCCAAGCAATGTCTGCACATATGAATAAATAAAGAAAAAAAAAGTTGGGACTGGTGGACTGGCTCAAGCAGGAAGAGTGCCTGCCTAGCAAGCATG